TAGTGGGGGCGAGATGGCATAGTGGGGGCGAKAWGGCAATAGGGCGAGATGACCTTAACTTGATTACATCATGTTATGATGCTTCTGAATTATAATACAATTTTTTCAGTATTCTCAATGATTGAAATAGTGACATTTAGACTTGGAAATGTCATTACATTACCGTTAGACAGACACAATAAAACTGTGAAGTTAACACACAAATTTTGCTATGAACACACTAGTTATAAGCACACTGTTTTGGTATGAAAGATTTTAACATCTCAGAATGTTCATGTTTTATTGTCGTCATAGTCTAAAAAGGCATCCATTAGAAGTCATCCCTACACCATTCCAAGGTGAGTTTCTACATGTAATTCTTGAAATTGAAAGCTTAGCAAGTTTACGAAGGCTATTTTAATCAACCTCTTAATCAGCATTCAGCAGGCATCTCAGTCTGAAGATTGTTATATCATTATACGGTTTCCATTATACAAATAAGATGAAAATTTGATATAGGCTTTATTTAACTGATCCAAAAGTCAATTTAGTACATACTTTAGATGTAAAGTAAGGCTCTTAAATGAAAATAAGGGGTGCAGTGATTGTAAAACAACAGCAATGATCCTCGTTCATCTCAAATCTTTTTTGAAGAAAGAGGTGTAATAGGTCCTTTGCAGCAGGGGGTCACGTGACCACACCTACCTTAARTCAATCARCTATCACAAAATGATGTTCAGAAATGGAAAGAGCAGGTTTATGTTGGTAGCAAATAGCAAAATCTCAAGTCTCAAGTCTAAATACTTCAAAAATGACAGCAAATATAATAATATTGATTTTTCTAAAGAAACGTATGGGAAAATAGAACTAGAGAGCAAGCCTTTGTTGTCAGGGGGCCAACCTCTCGGAAAGATCTTTAAAATGGTGCCAACATGGACAGCCCGATATAAAATTCCAACTATCTGAAAGAGGGTCTACCCTAGTAAGTGAAAAGCGATGTTGGGCATCACAGAAYTCTTGCAAAGACCGTGCAGTAACAGATTTATGACGTTACCTCATATCTGATAGCRAAACACATACCAGTTAAACGTTGTACAAATTTTAATAGTTGATTCACAAGCAAATACACAAATTGCAGGTTATGATTTATTTAAGAAGGCAAAAATATCATTAACAATCATTGCTAAGCGCTTTAGATAAAAATACAAGATCCTAACGTTAATCACATGACTTCAAAAAAAGAAAGAAAGAAAAAAAAGAAAAAAA